TATCAAATTGTTTGTTTAATGAACTTAATGCAAGAAGGCAAGAACACAAGGCCAAGTTTTAAAGAACATAGCTTATTATTGAAACCCGACATATATCTTTCATTTTTGCTTTAGAATTTGCCGTTAAAAGTGACATAACATTATCACGAAACAACAAGTCAATAACACAACTTCATGAAATACAAATATGAATACACACCCGTATGCTTTCACATATAGCCTAACAATATGGCTAACATATTTACTTTAAAACAAACAAATTTAAAGTCTGAAACAGCATGAACTTATACTGATACTGAAAATGAAACATTAACTTTAACGTTTTTGTCGCCACTATTCTTGTACATGTATACAGTCCATCAGTTTGTAATGTCGGGGAAAGCGGGTAAGGCAGGCAAAGGACCTTGGTGAGGGGTCTCTGTGGGAGCGGCAAGGGGGATCTCTGTTCTAGTGTCGTCAGGAGTTTCTTTCTTAATAACAGGGTTCAAGCTTGAGACTGAAGGGGGTTCTTCCTCTTTTAATGCGTCTCGTAGATTCTTGTTTAGGAATATGATTGCGTCTGCAGTCTCCGGAGTTTCTTTACATTGTCCCAGTAGAAAACTTATGATTTGTAATATTTGACGAATGTCATACATGTTGACGTATGTGACAGATGTTACATATTTTTTATCTTGACCATGCTATTACAGTGATATTACATGTGGACTTTCTGATGTATGTATGGTACAAGGGATCTTCCACTTATATAAGTGTTAGAAATACTGCCGCTATTGGTCTGTTGTTGGTATATAGCTAATAGAACTACCGGCTTGGGAAAGCCCACATTGTCAGGAGAGTTATATCATTATCATCGTCAAAGTTAATACTGAATTCAAAACTGAAATGAACGCAAGAGTCAGGGGAAAATGTAATCTCAATTATTTCAATATGTTCATGATTATTTTTTTTAGAGATATCTACATTGGCATTTCTATTTGGCTATGTCAAGCATGTCCTGCTTGACTGTATTGATTTTTCCATCACAAGGGACAAGTATTTCTTAGTAAAAACGATGAAGGATCTCTTTAATAATGTACATGTTCATTTAAGCATTGAGTTTTTAAAAGAAATAGAATTACTTGATATATTTTTATCGTTATTAGCATATGAATTTTAATTTGAGAGAATGAATACATAACTTTGATTGTTAGTGGCTATACTTTCAAAGGGGGTTGAAGTAGCGTAAAATTATTGTCCCCCGGAGAGGGTATGCAAGTCCCATTTCATTCAAAGTATTTTGCATTGTCCGTGATTTTAATCGTAGTATATATGTATTTTTATATGCATGGTTAAATTGTGCAAAAAACATGTGAAGGAACGATGTAAATCCAGGTCGGGTCCATGTAGGCAGCAAAGGTACTGTAAGTTCCCAATGGTCCCTAGTATGGTGATCTACCTACAGTTGTTGGTGATCTATAGCCCGGTTTTTAGATTGTATTGTCGTGTATTGTAATACATGTTTTTTATGCTTACATGCTAGTTTTAACTTTCTATCTGTGATAGCCTAGTTGTTTTACTGTTCTTCGTTGACGGATTTTACAAAATATCTTCTCTTTATTAATACCATATATATTGTTATAGTCACGATGTGGCTGCAATATTGCCGATGTGACTCTAAATCGTAACTCACACACTAACTATTTGGCTATGTGTGTTTGAATAACTGAACACCTGACAACTACAGCATGCTGCTCTTCAGCATCTGAACATCGTGTGAAAAAAGTAACCCGTGTTGCAACTCCAGATGCGCTTTTCTAAAGGAATGGAACGCATTTGAATTGCCTGCGGGGAACTCTAATGCAAGAAGTCAACTTCTGGTGTCAGCACATGTTCCCGTGCGTTTCCGGGTAAACAATTGATTTTCCTTTGGGTTTTACTCAATAATAGAAAGGGATTTGTTATTTCCATACATCCACCCGAAACTCACTTTGTTGAGTAACTGTTGTATACATATATTTGTGAACTATGTTTTTAAAAAAGCAATACCTTGTTCCGAAATTTCATTTGTAACATCTGACGTATATGACAGATGTAACATCATATGTTAACTTGATCGGGCGATTACGATAAGGGATACTACATTCGGATAAGGATAACTGTCATCCTACATTCATCTGGGAATAACTCACTGTAATACATTTTTCAATATGACTGATCAGGCTGGAGCCAACATGCATTTACGAAATTTTACTTGATTATTGTTCAGTCTGTTCATAATTTTGTTTAACCAATCAGTCGTTTTGGGGTTTCATGTGCGTGTTTGTTACTCAGTTCTTAATAAGACTAATTTAGTTCGGCTAACTCGGCTAATCCGTGATCATGTTGTGTGTTCACATTACTTGGGTTGAAGTTGGGAAAGACCGACATCCTGCAAACAGACAAAAGAGAGTTAAACATCAACTGTAATACCCATAAGTATGCATTTAATCGCGTAATATATATGTAATAAGTAATTTTACAACAGTTTAATAGTGCTGAATATCCGTATTTAGAGGAATCTGCTAACACTTCTAATCCACTTGTCTGTCTGTGTGGACACTGCCTCACACTATCTGTGTTACATGCTCTTGTAGTGAGCCTTTGGTTGCCATGAGGACATCATTTTATTTCTCCCGAATAATATTACAGATATACCACATTAAACCAAATATAAACAGATCAAGCTAACTTTACAACCAAGTAAAATATTAACTGAAATATAGTATTGAAAACTTTCAGCATGTAAAGACAATCTAATTGCATACTTCAAGGCACATTTAGATAACACGCAGTAGGAGTTCATGGGTTAGAGTGAGTGAGTGAGTTAAAATTTATAGTCACATCGGCAATATTTCAGCTCATGAGTAAGATGAACAGGACATGACAACATGATAACCATAATAAAATACCAAGGAAACACACATATGGCAATTGAGAAAAATATATCTCATGTTATATGGGGTTAAACTTTGCCAGGAAACTACAAATTCTATTACTTCTTTTGGTTTGAGTTCCTTCCGGGATTCGAACCGACACTCTCGGAGCAAGGCACGTCGATAGCAGTCTAACCCACTAAGCCACGGAGGGTTCCATCAAATGGAAGTCAGACAACTGGTAACCGTCTTCTTTTGTGTCCTTCTGACAAGTGTAAATTATCACAGCTCCCAAGGCGGAAGTTTTGAAGACAGTTTTTAGAAAGTAATCAAATGGAACACGTGTTATATTTGTGGTAACACTTTCTTAGTAAAGTACAGATTGTAGTACCTTTGTGGATGAACAGAATTGTTGTTTGGCATAATGAAAATATGAATCAATTCTTGACTTTTCGTAAAACAAATCCGAAGAGCACGCCAGTCTAACAGAAGAAACCATGTTAGGAATAATGACGAAAATCTAATTTAGGTTCTCTTAAATGGATTGCATTAAGACCGATCAGTATTCTGCTGGGAAGTATCTGCCGACATAACAACCCCAGAGAAATAGTCAACCTTATCGGGCAGAGCTCATCATCATCATCATCCAAAGGAGCGGTCATTGCACCTTTGTGATTCCTGAACCAATTCATTTCAGCCATTTTACCTCTTGACTTGTGCTCATTTTTTATATTTTGAGGTCGAGGTACCGCTGATTGAGTACCTGTGCTCTTCTTATCATATGTGTCGAGTCCTCTTCAACGGCAGTCAGGTCCAAACACACCATGTGCTGTGGAGACGGAAAAAGACATCAAAATAACATACAACGCACAAAATGGGTGTTACAAAATGTTACAAAAGAATGCTTACTATCTTGAAAAATAGAATCCAGGTCTTCAGCGTGACGAGGGAACGCTTCAACCACTGGGTTACCCCCTGCCGTCTAATGCATTTGGAGGAAATGATGGTGTACCTTTTGGTGACAATACATTTATATCTAACTGGTGAATTGTATTCGTAGACACAAGTTGCAAAGCTTAATCAGTAACATTAGTTAACTATGAAAACTTTAATTATACTAAACCTTTCACAAGGAAAACTGTAAAACACTACCAACAAAACAACACCTTGTAATATATTGTTTTCAACATATTATAATTTTCATATATTTCTTACAAAACAATGTAGTGAGCAAGTTTTAGCATTTATCGCCACTTTTAACAGAATTCCAATTATACCACCGCGTTTCAGCTGAATATGGGAGGGAAAACAATAGATTCATGTCTCAGACCTTTACTCTTTCCGTTAAACCAAGCATCGATGTTCCACCTATGAAATATCTAGAAAACATACATGCAACGAGTCAACAATCACAGATTTCTGATGTACCTAATGATCGCAGCTATGCAAAGCGAAACTTGGTGCAGAAGACGTCGGGGCAGCCCAAGCTGTAACATGAAACAATTTATCACCCTATGACCAAGTGACAACAATAAGCACTTTTTCTGCCAGTACAATTAAACCTTGATGGTATTTGCCGAATAACTCTGCTACACAATCAGTGATTAAAACACTGATGGCAGCTGATCATGTTAATATCATTTAGGGTGTGTTCTCATATGTTCTGCATTTCCCATTAGTCATGATTCCTGGAAATGGTTTTGTACAGGTTAAATTGACATGAGTACCCAACGCCATTGCCAGCTTTCATCAATGCTACTGTAAATGACAATGGTGACGTAACATACCCTCAAATCAATATTCAAAGCATTGGGAGATGGGATTCATAATGACAGGAACACTTAGCGGTATGTTTTTATTCAAGTGTAACATAAACAAGGACAAAAGATCGATACAGGCGTAATGTAGGAGCGCGACATCAAATTGACCAAGCTTTTCAGTTGTTGATTGTGTAAGCACTACCGATAATGTCTAAAAGGTTTCTCCTGGCCACGAACATTTTTACCAATCCATGAATCATTTCGAAAATCCAGTCTCCGCGTGTGGCTGAATTCACTGGGGTTGTGCTGTTTATCCTTCATCATTAGTGACGCTGACACACGTTTGAAAATGTTTGACCTCTGCAGATGCGTCCTTATAGTTTACCTCTGTCCCTTAGCTTTGGGCTCTGTTTCCTACAAGGAGAAAGATTTCCTGGCCAACCTCACCTCGGACTACGACCCCAAGATCCGCCCGGTGTTAGATGGTTCCAACACGACAGTGAGTATTAGTATGGGGTTGTACTCAATATATTCTCTGGATGAAAAACAGGAAGTGCTCATCTTTAAAGCATGGGTCTATATGACGTGGAAGGACCAGCTTCTGGTGTGGAACACGACAGATGGCATTCCCGTTGTTGTAACTATGTCACTGGCGGATGTATGGACACCAACCGTACTGAATGTTGATTCTGTGACGAATATGAGGTACCTAAAAGATGAAACAGATACAGTGGTTGTCTTTCAGGATGGTACAGTTATATATTCCTACATAGGTAGGTTTGATACAGGATGCAAGGTCAATATCCAACAGTTTCCTTTCGATCGCCAGACATGTTATTTTCACTTGGAAACATTTTATCCTCCTGCAAGTAAGGAACATCTCAAGGTAGTCAACTCGTATGTAAATCTGGAAACATACAAAGAAAACGGAGAATTTCACCTTCTCAGTGCATCAATGACACAGGAGAAATTCACTCTTCTCAATGTAACTCTTGAATGGATAGAAGTGACCCTTGTCCTGCAAAGACGAACCACCTTCTACATCCTCAACAACATCCTACCCATCGTGTTCCTTTCCTTTCTTAACATCTTTGTCTTCCTGTTGCCCGAGGAGAGTGGTGAGAAGGTGTCCCTGTGTGTCTCCATCCTATTGTCATATGCCATGTTTCTCAATCTCATCAACTCCTACCTACCAGCGAACTCCGACCACCTGTGTTTCTTCAGTGTCTACGTCACCCTGCTTGTGTTGATCAGCACACTCACATGTCTCGTCACGATCTTCATGCAGTTACTTCACACAAATCTCCAAAGGGAAAATGTCAGTCCAAGATGGCTGCCAATCGCATGGAGATCAGCCAGCAAAGTTGGAATAACCAAACTACAAGTTAAGACTGATGATGTCTCTCCAAACAAATCGAACGTGAAAGACAATAAGAAAGATGCACTACTCGCCAAGTGCAACAGAGTGGCATTTGGAACGTTCTTCATCATCACAGCTCTCACTAACCTTATGTTTTTCATTAGCGTATCCCTATGACGGTATTACGCATTACTGCCACTGCTTGTTTCACCTGGAATACATGTTTTTGGTCAGTAGATTTGTTTAGTGACATTTTCTATGTGTTTTCACGCACCATTGACAATTATGATGTGTGATGCAATTCTCTACCTGTCACTCACAGCACGTTCCCATGCTTTGTTGGATGAACAATTAACTTCAGAATTGAAAGGGATTTGTTATTATCTTTCCTTGCCTCACTTTAGTGAAATTTCATATATTTTTTGTGAACTACTTTTTGTTATCGCCAGTGCATTGTCCCATTTTATGACCTATCATTTGTAACATTTAACGTATGTATCTTGACCTGACGACTGCAGTGATATCGTTTGTAACACCTGATTAGCAATTAGCAGTCCACTGTTTATCAACCTTGTCAATTGTATTTACTCACTATGCAACTATGTATATATTTCCTTGTTACAACTCTTGGACCGCCTCCGTGGTGTAGTGGTTAGAGCGTCCGCCCGGAGAGCGGAAGGTTGCGGGTTCTATCCCCGACCGCGTCATACCAAAGACGTTAAAATACGGTACTTGTTGGTCCCTGCCTGGCGCTCGGCATTAATGGGTACAACAAGGACTGGTCGGCTCGGAGTCAGTATAATGTGTCTGAGTGGGGTATTCATTCTTCACTGCGGCGTGGTATCCCAGTTGGCTAGCACTTTAAAACCAGCTTAAGTCTGAGCTAGTACAAGCAGCCGCAGACACACATACACACGCATGCACGTCGTCATATGAGCGAAATATTCTCAAGCACGACGTTAAACCTAATTTCACCTCACCTCTTCTGTTACTACTCTTAGTATCACTTGCTGTATAACGGTGATAGTACCTACACCGAAACGTCGCACTCGCTGCAATAAAGAAGTTGACTATCCATAGAACTTGGTTTTCCTTCACCTATACAACTTCTAAAAATGCCTCTCAAAGAAGTTCACCATCTCTCTAGATTCTCTCTCTCTCTCTCTCTCTCTCTCTCTCTCTCTCTCTCTCTCTCTCTCTCTCTCTCTCTCTGGACATGATTGCTGCTGCTGATAACGCGGCACTCAACCAATCTGCGACACCACTTCTCATCCCCGACACAGACTATAAATCAGTCATGAGAAGTTACATCCATGATCTAAAGAAATGGGACACCCAAGTGGTGTAAATAAGTAAATTAAAATTAAACCAACTGTTGATTACACCTAATTGGACTGTCAATCCAGATTTGAAGAGTTCATTATACGACGATGTCACTGACAACTATAGCATAGTATGGTTCAGTTATACAGCATCTGATCTGAATGGTGTATTCACACCAGATGCCTGTTCTCAACGGAAGCATTGTGTCATTAGTTTCACCTGCAGCCAACTCTTATGCAAGAGAAGTCCATATTTGGTGCCAGCTGGTAAGGTTTAGGCTGAAAATTAGTGTTAAATCTAATCAACTCACTTACTATGTATGATGCCTCTTAATATAGTTATTGTCTAAATGGTATAACCAATGATCACAATACAGCGATAGGATACTACCATCAGTTTATCAAACAGATAACATTATGAAATGAAAGAAAGGAAAGGATTTGAACAAATAATTATTTATTTGTATCACAGTATATTCCAACTCAAGTTACGTCCGTAATGTTTACAATCGCCATACTGGATTTTCTGTGGCAATTTTCTTTTAACAAACAGCGTCGGGTTCCAGGGTTTACTCACAGTTGAATTCTATTTTTCGAATTTCGAGAGATGTTTGTGGTAATACTATCTCTGCTGTCTAAGTACCTAAGTAAGTAATTGTTAGAAAAACTATGTTGCCATAAGGATGACTTGTAACTGTCGTTTATTCATGTGTGATTCATTCCGACTGAGTATTCCAAGATCGAAATGATTTCAATTCAGTTACAGTTATAACACGCCCCTTGTTTGGCCGTAAAATACGATAGTTCACAGTCGGGGGTGACAGTGGAGGTGAGGTTGGGGAGTTTTTGGCGGAGGCATATGAGGGGTTTCCTACCTGTTATGTGTACATTCTAATGTGGTCCTCAGAGTTACCGTTTCTGAGAATCACCAAGAACAGACACATTTGAAGAATGACGACCTACACATATTGCAAACTTACAAATAAAGTATGAAATCACCTTGTGTATTCAAATCTAGAATGTCCTAAAATGTTCACAAATACAGATTCAATCGTTATATCAAATATTTTAAACAGAAGTGATCGCTGAATATTCTGAAACTTGTACACCAACTGTTCAACATGAACAAACGCTTTTAAGCTTATATAACATTTAATACTTTACCATGGAAGCCTTTCTTCAATATGGCAGAATAAAAACAGTGTTTTAGTCTGTTGGGTTTTCCGTTATCTAAATATAACCGATAATACTTATAGTATAAACAGTGTTGTATACATAATTTATCAACCGTTCTTCTCATACAACTTGAGCCTTATACTTCATCAAAATCACTTGACTACGAAACCAGTGAATACAACTCATGATATTGGTATAGAATCATGCAAATAACAATATAACATGCCGTCTCTTTCTCTCCTTCGGAATATCATGTTTGTCATTGTCCGATTACACATCGTTAGTAGAAGTAATTTCAATGTAGACAATGCCAAAATTCATTACTTCTTTAGGAGAAGTAGTTTCGTAAGCGTTAAATGTCCAGTAATTCTCAACAACAATGCCAACCTTCAAGAATTCAGTGATGGTGTGACATAGCACACTAAGGTCAATATTCAAAGCTTCTTCAAATATTTTCCAAACATCAATTAGGACCAGCCGGGAAGGGTCTTCTTAGTCAGGTTTTACACAGTCTGTTCGAAACATCAACATTGTCATGGCAATTAGTGTTAACGATGCAACATCAAATTGAGAGAGCTACTCAGATGACCATGGATCACAGAAATACAACTAATGATCAAACGGGCATTGCTTTGCTCGTTGCTGTTGGAGACTAATAATATATTTAAAACGCTTTGAATCATTCCTAAGACTGAATCTCCTTTGCGCTGAGACTGTGCTACGTTATTTCCTGTGCTCTGCACTGAGACTGTGCTACGTTGTTTCGTGTGCTCTGCACTGAGGCTGTGCTTGTTTGGATATGTATGCCATGCATAGAAGTATCTTCATCCTTCCTTTATAGCTTCATCAAATATTTTCCAAACATCAATTAGAACCAGCCGGGAAGGTTCTTCTTTGTCATGTTTTACACAGTCTGTTCTAAAACATCTCTTTCTCTCCTTCAGGATATCATATGTTTTTCATATCTCCGATTATAATTCATTAGTGGAAGTAGTTTCAATGTAGACAGTGCCAAAATTCATTACTTCTTTAGGAAATCTCAATAAGGTATGATACTCATGTCAATATTCATAGTTTGTTCCATACACCAATTAGGACAAGCCTGGAAGCTTCTTATCATTTGTGTCTTACCCATGCAATCTCCAAACATCGGCATTGTAATGTCAATTAACGCTAATGACGCAACATCATATTGATAGAGCTATTCAGTTGTTCATATTGTACAGAAATTCAGATAATGACCAAACGGGTCTTGCTTTGCCCCGTTGCTCCTGGATACCAATATAATACCTATATAATGCCTTGAATCATTTCTAAAACTGAATCTCCTTAGCACTGAGGCCGCTGTGTGTTTTCTCCAACATTAATCACGTGAATATTGTTTGGACATGTTTGCCATACACAGATGTGTCTCCATGTTACTTCTCTGTCACGTCACTCTGGGCTCTGTTTCCTACAAGGAGAAAGATTTCCTTGCGAACCTAACCTGGAACTATGACCCCAAGATCCGCCCGGTGTTAGATGGCTCCAACACCACAGTGAGTATCGGTATGATATTGCACTCAATTATATCTCTGGATGAAAAACAAGAAGTGCTCAGCTTTAAAGCATGTGTTGTAATGACATGGAAGGACCAGCTTTTGGTGTGGAACTCGACAAGTGACATTCCCACTGCAGTTACTATGCCCCTATCGGACATGTGGTCGCCAACCATACTGAATGTTGATTCTGTGACAAACTTGAAGTACCTAAAAGATGACAGGGATACCGTGCTCGTCCATCAGGATGGCACAGTTGTGTATACTTTCACAAGTAGGTTTGACACAGAATGCAAAGTAAATATCCACCAATTTCCTTTCGATCGCCAGACATGTAATTTTCACTTGGAAACATTTTATGCCCGTGTTAGTAAGGAATTTCTTAAGGTAATCGACTCGTATGTAAATCTGGAAACATATCAGGAAAACGGAGAATTTATCCTTCTCAGTGCATTAATGGCATTGACAAAATTCCAGATAAATGACTTCAATGGCAACTGGATAGAAGTGACCCTTGTCCTGCAAAGACGAACCACCATCTACATCCTCAACAACATCCTGCCCGTCGTGTTCCTGTCCTTTCTGAACGTCTTCGTTTTCTTAATGCCCGAGGAGAGCGATGAGAAGGTGTCTCTGTGTGTCTCCATCCTGTTGTCATATGCCATGTTCCTGACCCTCATCAACTCCTACCTACCAGCGAACTCCGACCACCTGTGTTTCTTCAGTGTATACGTCACCCTGCTTGTGTTGATCAGCACATTCATATGTCTCGTCACAATCTTCATGTTGGTACTTCACACAAACCTTCAAAGGGGTAAAGTTAGTCCAAGATGGGTGCTTGTTGCTTGGGGAGAAGACAGCAAAGTTAGAACACCTGAACCACGGGTTAGAACTGATGACGTCTCTTCCAACCAATCCGATGTAAAAGACACAGCAAACAAATCTGACATGAAGGATGCAATAGTCACCAAGTGCAACAGAGTGGCATTTGGAACGTTCTTCACACTCACAGTACTCATTAATCTTATATTTTTCATTTCCGTATGCCAATGAAGGACGACTGTCAGTGACGGACTGCCATTGCTTATTTCACATACAGACAGAGCCAAACGAAGATGAATGCTTGATACATCAGTAGATATGCTTTTGATAAACATCATTCACTTACACGAATGAATATGACGTGTGGGCCAAGAGTACTATCTTTTTACATCCATTACTTATGTGACTTATTGACAATCGAAGAAGAATACATTGGATTAGCCAGTAGGTATATATGTGTCATGTCTTGTGTGTGCTTTGAAACTTTGCTGTCATTGGGGAGTTTGTGAATTGTGTGTGTCAAACTTATGTTATGAGGATGTCTTTTTGTTAATTGTAAGTTCACATTAATTAACTTTTAACTATTATGGGTCACAAAAGTTTAAAGCGCTGAAGTGTGAATTTGAACTCACACCTTCTATTGAACCAGAGACCATATAATAGATAGTATATGGTCTCTGATTGAACTTAGGCTATGTGTTTTCACTTACTCTATGTGTTAAGAGTAGGTACCTCCCTTTGATTTTTGCTTCCGGTGTCTTCGGTGGGATTCAGGAAATTCTGAGAAGATGGTGGTGTGGCATAGCTTTGGTCAGAACACTCTATAACTGTGTAATAGGTATCTAAGGGGTGGTTGCTGAGGTGTATGGAGGACGCCTTTGGATTTACACTCATCTGTCTAACGTTTCAAGACCGACTCCTCAAGAGGCCTCGTCAACAGTGAACTTTCAACAGCTGTCAACAAACTTCAATCAGTATCTCTACAAGGATCAAGACTTTGGTGACTATAGATTTTTAGTTAATATTTTAGATTTGTGACCCAATCGTATTGTATTAGAAATCTGTACTGCCATTCATTGTAACCTTGTTTATTTTTTATTCAATATATAGTTGAATATTATATGATGTGTGTTTTATTTTGCTGCTTTAAAGGGGACTCACAAGCCTTTAATCACAGTAATTACCAAAGAATCATACATTTAATTAGTCATTGGGGTGTGTGTGAATGTTGTGTGTCCATATGATGGAATAAATTTAGTGTTAACGATTGCTATTGCATGCTATTGCAGTACAATTTCCTATTGTACTGTACAATAATCTCCTCACACATCTGTCTCTCTATCCTTCTTAACAGTGTAAGAACCTAAAGTGAAACGTCGCTCTCACTGCAATAAAGAATTTGTTCATCCATATATTGTTATCCTTCCTTACTGCTCCCACTTCTAAATGCTTCTCAAAATCGTTATGTTTTTGCCACCGTTAGTAATATTTCAGCAATGGGCTTCACACATTGTACCCATGTGGGGAATCGAACCCGGGCCTTCGACGTGACGAGCGAACGCTTTAACCAGAAGGCTACCCTCACCGCCCCCTATAATTTTGAGATATATGATCTGAGACTTTGGACTGACAGGCGGACGGGCAGGCATACATTACTCTAACCACTAATATTATATACCTGTGAAATGGGGAGAAAGGGGTATCCCGACAGTAAGCCAGAAGCGCGAAAAGGCAAAAACAAAAGATAAAAAATACCCTACATCTGACATATATCATGTTATACAGTAAACAGGAAGTTGCCATCCATATGTTCATCTGATATATTCACCAACTTCTAAATGCCTCTCAAGAATTACACTGGCCCAAAAAAGAAACGCATAGGTGAAATCCAGTGTTATCAGTGATGCTTTAGTAACTTAAATTACACAAAAAGTAATAATCATAGAGCAATAAAAATCCACACAGGTATTGGGACATGTGTATCCAAAAACATACAGTCATTCACAGTGGTATTGAGAGTCTCTGTTTTTGATGGCACGGTCACAAAGTCAGTATCTGGTGTGACCACCACGAGCCTCAATCACTGCTCTGCATCGCTTGGGCATAGACTGTATAAGACGTCGGATCCGCCGTTGTGGGAGTCTTCTCCACTCATCCTGCAACGCATCGACAAGCTGTTGATGTGTCTGTGGTTGCGGCTGTCGGCGTCGTACACGTTGATCCAATTGGTCCCACAAATGTTCAATTGGGTTAAGATCCGGAGATTTTGAAGGCCATGGAAGAACTGTTATGTTGTTGATGGCAAGGAAATCTGTTGTAATGCGTGCTGTATGCGGTCTTGCGTTGTCATGCTGAAAAATTTCTCTTCTAGCGTCAATTACGGGAATAACATGACGTACCAGGATTTCATCACGATAGCGCACAGCATTCAAATTCCCTTGGACATGCACCAGCTCTGTTCTGTCATTCACAGATATGCCTGCCCACATCATTACACCTTCGGCGCCGTGTCTGTCGACCTGACGAACACACTGTCGAGCATATCTTTCATTTCGACGTCTGTAAATCCGCATCCTGCCATCGTGTCAATACAGCATAAACCGCGACTCGTCGCTGAACCTGATCCTCCTCCAGTTCAAGAGGGTCCATGGCCGAGCGTTCCTGCTCCATTGAAGACGTGCACGACGATGGTGGTGTCGCAGAACAGGTCCTGTATGTGGTCGCATTGGTCGGATTCCATGCTCTCTTAGGCGATTCCTGATGGTTTGTGCAGAGACTCGACGCAGCCCAGGAACATTGTCGGCGGTGTACGCTGCAGTGACGATCCGATTTCGCAGATGAAACACCAGGATGAAGCGGTCTTGCGCTGGGGGTGGCACCCTTGGTCTCCCACTCCTAGGACGATCTCTGGTCGAGTTGTGCTGCGTGTAACGCTGCCAGAGACGGGAAATCGTACTCTACCTCACGTTTAGATGTCTGGCAACTGATGACTGGCTTTCTCCAGCTTCCAAGTGTCCAATGGCTCTGTTTCTGCTTTCTTCGTTTAGTCGTGGCATCTTGAGGGTCGCATATACAGAATTTCGAAGAATGAATCGCAACAGGACTGCTGGCTTTTTATACCCATCAGTATCAAGATTCAGATCCCGTATTTGCACGTGCATCATGCTTTCAGATTTTACGGGGATTTTTTCATCATACTTTGCAGAGTATACGGGGATTTTTTCAAGGTGCTGTGTTTTGGCGAATAATCACCAAAGGTTGTTTTTGCGTGTGTTGGATAATTGTATGGGCTATATTCACACTTAATATAAACATTGACAGTCATTCCATGCCATATTTTTCGAAACAATCTACTTTGAAGATCAGAATTCAGCTATGCGTTTCTTTTTTGGGCCAGTGTACATCTGACATGTGTTGATAAAACACGCCCATAAGCAACTTTTTTACCAAATACTCCAGTATGTGTCGACATGTGGCTGAACCATAGGACAGGTGCAGAAAAACGAATTCACTAAATGGTATAGTTTTACGTCACTTTCAGCAATACTCAAGCGTATGATACCAGAAATGGGATTCACACTGTTATCTTTTTAGAAATTTGATGCGGGTCTTCAGCGTGACGAGGGAAGCTTCAACCCTCGGCTATCCCCGAGTGCTGCTGCCTAGTGCAATCGTGATGTATCTTAAGCAGATTCACACTCTCTCACCAGCTGGGGTACATAACATTTATATCTAACTGTGAAATAAATATGATTATTTACTGTTATATGTCCACCTGTGGGGGTTTGTAAGTCCCAAAATATTCAAAGTAAATTAAGCTTACCGAATATGTTAAAGCGCAGCATTTTTTGTGATTTTAAGTTATGGCTAAATTTACCTAAAATCACCAGTGGCTGAAAGGATGGAGTAAATCCGGCTATGGTCCATGCAGGTAGCAAAAGTACTGTAAGTCCCCATGGTCCCTAGCATGGTGATCTACCTTTAGTTGTTGGAGATCTCGAGTCCGTTTTTGTATTGCATTGTCTGTACTATTTGTATAATTTTAAGAGTTACTTGCTTGTTTTAATTCTGTGATGATCTACTTATTTTACTCTTATTTCTTTTATAATTTAATTGCGCTTTGTGAATTTTTAAGTCTCAATATGCTTGAAATTACGCCAATGTGACTATACATTATAACTTATTCACTCGTTTATTGTTATGTAATACAATGTAGCTCCTGAAATTTAGTTTTTATAAACCTGAACACTTTTCACTAAAATAATTGTAAAACACTACCACTAACACATCACCTTTATATATTGTTTTAAACATTTGATACTTATATGTTTTACAAAACAATGTAATAAGCATGTTGTACTTAACGCCACTTTTAGCAGTATTCCAGTTACACCACGGTGTATCAGCTGAAAATAGAGGGAAAAAATCAGGTCTCAGATGTGTCCTTTTTCCGTCAAACCAACAAGCACCAGTGTGCTACGTATCACATACCAAGAAGCATACACGCGACGAAGCGAGATTCTAACCCCAATCACAGATTAATGGTTTGCCCAAGGATCGCAACTCTACAAAGGGAATAGTAATTAACAAGTAATTGTCATCGGCACTTGTGTTAACAAAGCTAAATAAATATATAATCCCATCATCCACTGACAACAAAAAGCAATGCTTTACTGTCAGTGCATTTAAACCTTTGTACCTGATGCCGAATCATCGTGCTACACAATCAGTGATTAAAACTCTGTGATACTGATACTGATCCACTTGAGGTACGTCATCATTTTTGGATACGGCCCATTAGACATGGTTACTGGAAATTGATTTGTGAAGCCTAAAATCTCATGAGTACCCATCGCCATTGCTAACATTCATCAGCACTATAGTGAATGGCAAACATACCCGCAAGTTATTATTCATTGTGAGATATGATTCACACAACCCCAGGGACATTTCACGGTATGCTCCTATTCATTTCTAACATATACATTGTACAAGAACAAAACATCGATTTCCAACCATTAGGCCTAATGTAGAGTGCGACATCGAATTGACAAAGCTGTTCAGTTGCCGATAGCGATAGCACCTCCGATGTTTAAATGGTTTCTCTTAGACAGGAGCAGTTTTACCATGCCATGAATCATTTCAAATATTAAGTCTCCACGTGTGGCTGGTTCACTGTGATTGTGTTATATATCCTTCACTCTGACAACGTTTTTGGAAATGTTACGAAATTGTGACCTTTTCATTTCACTCTGTCTCTGTCGCTTGACCATGGGCTCTGTTTCCTACAAAGAGAAAGATTTCCTGGCCAACCTCACTTGGAACTACGACCCCAAGATCCGCCCGGTGTTAGATGGTTCCAACACGACAGTGAGTATCAGTATGGGGTTGTACTCACTTTTATCTCTGGATGAGAAACAGGAAGTGCTCAGCTTTAAAGCATGGGTTTCAATGTTGTGGAAGGACCAGCTATTGGTGTGGAATACGACAGATGACATTCCCTTTGCAGTCACTATGCCCTTGCCGGATGTATGGACTCCAACCGTACTGAATGTTGATTCTGTGACGAGTTTGAAGTATCTGAAAGATGAAACAGATACCGTGTTTGTCTATCAGGATGGTACAGTTGCGTATTCCTACGTAGGTAGGTTTGACACAGGATGTAAGGTGAATATTCAACAGTTTCCTTTCGATCATCAAACATGTACATTTCATTTACAAATATTGTATACCCAAGTAACCAAGGAATATCTTGAGGTAACATCCACGAATGTCGTTCTGGATGTATACAGGGAAAACGGAGAATTTAACCTTCTCAGTGCATCCATGGTGTTACAGGAGTTCACTACTCTCGGTGTTACTCAACCCTGGATTGAAGTTACATTCGTCCTAAAGAGACGAACCACCTTCTACATCCTCAACAACATCCTTCCTGTCGTGTTCCTGTCCTTTCTCAACTGCTTCGTATTCTGTTTGCCCGGGGAGAGTGGTGAGAAGATGTCATTGTGTGTCTCCATCCTGTTGTCCTATGCCATGTTCCTGACCCTCATCAACTCCTACCTACCAGCGAACTCCGATCACCTGTGTTTCTTCAGTGTCTACGTCACCCTGCTTGTGTTGATCAGCACACTCACATGTCTCGTCACAATCTTCATGCTGGCACTTCACACTTATTTACAAACGGGCAAAGCTTGTCCAAGATGGCTGCCGGTCGCTTGGAGGTCTGATAGCAAAGTTGGAACAAGTGAACCATGGGTTAAGAAGGAAGACATAGCTCCAAACCAATCTGATGTAAACGGTAAAGCAAACAATAAGTCGGAAATGAAGGACTTGATTATCGCCAAGTGTCACAGAGTGGCATTTGGAACGTTCTTCACACTGACACTCCTCATTAATCTTATATTTTTCATTTCCGTATCCCCGTGATGGACGGCTGTCAGTGAGTGATTGCCATTGCCTATTTCACATACAGACAGAGAATCGAGGAGGAATGCTTGATACATCAGAAGATGTGCTTTTGTTCAACATCATTCACTGACATGGCTGAATATGAACTTTTTCAGCAGCTCTATCCCACTGAAAACTCTACTGCAAGCGAGTGGCAGAAACACCCCTAAACAACAAAACCCAAAAGGTTTTGTCTGCAAGATCAACTGTGACTGTGGTGAAGCCTATGTAGGTGAATCGTCCCGCCTCATAAACCTCAGATCATAAATCAGACCGAAAATCAGCTATCTCAGAACACATAATCAACAATCACAACATCAAGCGGGACAATGTTGAAATATTATCTAAAAACCTCCAGGAGACCAAGAATGCCTCATTCCATCCGCCTACAATGAACTGATAAAACCAACAGAACAGAGCACTCAAGCTATCATTGCTAATTAATCCCATCTGATATGTATATCTTGTTCACATGTCTCGTCACAATCTTCATGTTGGTACTTCACACAAACCTTCAAAGGGGTAAGGTTAGTCCAAGATGGGTGCTTGTTGCTTGGGGAGAACACAGCAAAGTTAGAACACCTGAACCACGTGTTAGAACTGATGACGTCTCTTCCAACCAATCCGATGTAAAAGACTCAGCAAACAAGTCTGACATGAAGGATGCAATAATCACCAAGTCAACAGAGTGGCATTTGGAACGTTCTTCACACTCACAGTACTCATTAATCTTACATTTTTCATTTCCGTATGCCAATGAAGGTCGACTGTCAGTGACGGACTGTCATTGCTTATTTCACATACAGACAGAGCCAAACGAAGATGAATGCTTGATACATCAGTAGATATGCTTTTGATAAACATCATTTACTTACACGAATGAATATGACGTGTGTGGGCCAAAAGTATGTGACTTATTGCCAATCGAAGAAGAATACATTGGATTAGCCAGTAGGTATATATGTGTCATGTGTTGTGTGTGCTTTGAAACTTTGCTTTCATTGGGGAGTTTGTGAATTGTGTGTGTCAAACTTATGTTATGAGGATGTGTTCTTGTTAATTGTGAGTTCACATTAATTAACTTTTAGCTATTATGGGTCACAAAAGTTTAAAGCGCTGAAGTGTGAATTTGAACTCACACCTTCTATTGAACCAGAGACCATATAATAGATAGTATATGGTCTCTGATTGAACTTAGGCTATGTGTTTTCACTTACTCTATGTGTTAAGAGTAGGTACCTCCCTTTGATTTTTGTTTCCGGTGTCTTCGGTGGGGTCAACAAACTTCAATCAGTATATCTACAAGGATCAAGACTTTGGTGACTATAGATTTTTAGTTAATATTTTAGATTTGTGACCCAATCATATTGTATTAGCAATCTGTACTGCCATTCATTGTAACCGTGTTTAGTTTTTATTCAATATATAGTTGAATATTATATGATGTGTGTTTTATTTTGCTGCTTTTAAGGGGACTCACAAGCCTTTAATCACAGTAATTACCAAAGAATCATACATTTGTTTAGACATTGGGGTGTGTGTGAATGTTGTATGTCAAACGGATGGAATAAATTTAGTGTTAACGATTGCTATTGCATGCTATTGCAGTCCCATTTCCTATTGTACTGTACAATAATCTCCTCACACATCTGTCTCTCTATCCGTATGGAAGGACCAGCTTTTGGTGTGGAACACAACGAATGACATTCCCGTTGTTGTAACTATGCCCTTGGCGGATGTATGGTCTCTAACCGTAATAACTGTTGATTCTGTGACGAATATGAGGTACCTAAAAGATGAAACGGACATGGTGCTTATCTATCAGGATGGTACAGTTACATATACCTACATAGGTAGGTTTGACACAGGATGCAAGGTCAATATCCAACAGTTTCCTTTCGATCGTCAGACATGTAATCTTCACTTTGACACATTTTATGCTCCTGCAAGTAAGGAATATCTGAACGTAGTCGACTCGTATGTAAATCTGGAAACATATCAGGAAAACGGAGAATTTCACCTTCTCGGTGCATCAATCACACGGCAGAAATACACCCTTCTCAATGAATCTCATAACTGGATAGAAGTGACCCTTGTCCTGCAGAGACGAACCACCTTCTACATCCTCAACAACATCCTTCCTGTCGTGTTCCTGTCCTTTCTTAACATCTTCGTTTTTCTGTTGCCCGAGGAGAGTGGTGAGAAGGTGTCTCTGTGTGTCTCCATCCTGTTGTCATATGCCATGTTCCTGACCCTCATCAACTCCTACCTACCAGCTAACTCCGATCACCTGTGTTTCTTCAGTGTCTACGTCACCCTGCTTGTGTTGATCAGCACACTCACATGTCTCGTCACAATCTTCATGCAAATTCTTCACACAAATATTCAAAGGGTCAAGGCCAGACCAAGATGGCTTCCAAACGCATGGAGATCAGAAAACAAAGTTGGAACAACCAAACTACAGACTGATGATGTCTCTCCAAACAAATCGGACGTGAAAGACAAAGCAAATAAGAAGTCAGAAATGAAGGATGCTATAATCACCAAGTACAACAGAGTGGCATTTGGAACGTTCTTCACACTCACAGCTCTCATTAACCTTATTTATTTCATTAGCGTATCTCAATGATGGACAACTTATTGCTGACATTGGATGTTTTTTTCATCTTTGCCGTTGACTTTGATTGGTCAGTATTACATGTTTTTCTTGCATCTACTATGTGTTTTGACGCATCAGTGACAATTGCAATGTGTGAAGAAATCTTCACTCACAGCTCATATCTGTATTTCTGAACTATATTTTTACATAAGCAATACCTTGTTCCGAAAACATCATTTGTAACATCTGACGTATGTCGCTAGTATGGTGATCTACCTTCAGTTGTTGGCAATCTATAGCCTGTTTTTATATTGTAATATGGCTGAAATATTGCCGAGGTGACGTTCAATTTTAACTCACTCACTCACTCATTTCATATTGTATTGTTCTCTTTAAAAAAATACTCGTTTTATGACAACATGCTAATTTTACTTTAATATCTATGATACACTGGTTTTACTGTTCTTCGTCAACAGGCTTATAATTTCTAATTTTCTTGTTCTATAATACAATAATTAATTCTTCTCGTCATGATATGTCTGAAATGTTGCCGATGTGACGATAAATATTAACTCACTCACTCACTCTGACGTATGTTACATCATCTGCTAACTTGACAGGGCCTTATGTATTTCATTAGCGCCTGGCTAGTGATCCAGCGAGCATGGAGGTGCCGGGATCGAGCCCACTCTTTCAGTGTTGTCACAACCCCTAGTGTACAGTACACAACCCTGTGCACCTAAAAGAACCCACGAATCCGTTGGTAAATGACGAGATGGTGGCTACATGAATACGTGCAAACACCTAGTTGTGGGTACAGCAACATGCTGTAAAACTTATACTATGTGTCCAAGTCCACCCAGCTGTGAATGGATACCTCGTAAGGATGGGAAAGCCACATTAACTTGGTGCGCTTTGAGGCTTCACGAGTTGTATGATCCCCAGGGAGTTGAGATTGAAATACGATGTGCCGTTGAGATTGACATCCAATGATCGAGGGATAAAACAAAGTGCTTTGAGCATACATGTAGATGGGATGGACTATAGCGCTATATAAATACCCATATAGTAATAATAGTGTATCCCTATGACGACTTTACAGATTTCTGTCACTGCTTAATTTACATGGAATGCATTTGATTGGTCAGTTGATTTGTTTAGCGACATGTTGAATGTTTTGACGCATCAGTGACAGTTATGATGTTTGATGCAAATCCACATCTTCACTCACAGCACATGTTCCAGTGCTTTTTCAGATGAACATTTGACTTGCCTTTGTTGTTTTACTTGATAATGAAAAGGCATTTGTCATTTGTATTCATGTTTCCTTACCTCACTTTGTTAGGTGACAACTTTATCTCTTCTTGTGAACTACTAGTATTTTTGACATGCTTTCTTTACATTGTCCCAGAAGAAAACTTATGATTTGTAATATTTGACGAATGTCATACATGTTGACGTATGTGACAGATGTTACCTATTTTTTATCTTGACCGTGCGATTACAGTGATACTACATGTGGACTTTCTGATGTATGTATGGTACAAGGGATCTACCACTTATATAAGTGTTAGAAATACTGCCGCTATTGGTCTGTTGTTGGTATATAGTTAATAGAACTACCGGCTTGGGAAAGCCCACATTGTCAGGAGAGTTATATCATTATCATCGTCAAAGTTAATACTGAATTCAAAACTGAAATGAACGCAAGAGTCAGGGGAAAATGCAATCTCAACTATTTCAATATGTTCATGATTATTATTTTTTTAGAGATATCTACATTGGCATTTCTATTTGGCTATCTCAAGCATGTCCTGCTTGACTGTATTGATTTTTCCATCACAAGGGACAAGTATTTCAAAGTAAAAACGATGAAGGATCTCTTTAATAATAATGTACATGTTCATTTAAGTATTGAGTTTTTAAAAGAAATAGAATTACTTGATAAATTTTTATCGTTATTAGCATATGAATTTTAATTTGTGAGAATGGATAAATAAACTAGTGTCCAAAAGAAACGATACCACGTGTTGCAAAGATCACTAAATTAAAACAAAACAACATAGACATTTCAAATTGATATCTTTCATTAGATAAATGATTTTATGGCATGTGTACAAAAAGTCATGGCAATCAAAGATTTACAATCATTAACACAGGGCTTTAAACGACGTGTGGTGCCAAAAATTGAAATTTCATTTTAGCACAGTGGAGGAGGCGAGTGAGGGTAGTCTCTGAAAACAGTCTTACTGCCACTTTTGTACCGGGTATGTCCACCAGCAGCTGCGATACATGCCATGACACGCCACCGAGCTGATGACGTCAAACGTCGGATGACGTTAGGGGTGATTCGCTGCCACTCATCCTGGAGACAATGTTCCAATTGTTGCAGGTTGGCTGGGGGCGCAGGGCGTTTTCTGATTTTCCGATTGAGGTGATCCCATATGTGCTCAATGGGATTCACATTCGGTGAACTCGCTGGCCATAGCAAAACCTGTAAGTTGGCGTTGGCAAGGAAGTTCTGGGTCAATCTTGCCGTATGAGGCCTAACGTTATCGTGCTGGAACACGATTCCTCCTGGATGCTGTTGGGCGAATGGCTGCACGACTGGTCGTAAAACCTCATCATGGTAACGCTGTGCATTCAAGTTCCCCCGAATAATGACGAGCCTCCTTTTCACATCACCGCAGATATCTCCCCACACCATTACACCTCCGCCTTCAAATGCATGGACTTGCTGGATGCAGTTCGGCGCCAAACGTTCACGAACTCTTCGGTATACTCGCTGCCGACCATCGTTCTTGTAAAGGCAAAACCGGCTTCCGTCCGAAAACAAGACACGTGCCCAGTTTCGACGTTGCCACAGCCGAACGCGCCTGGCCCATATTAATCGGTTGACTCTGTTTTGACGTGTCAGGTAGACTACGCGGTAGGGGCGACGTGCACGGATACCATATGCCTGCAGTCTCCTGTAGACGGTTTGTCGACTGATCCGGTGTCCCAGTCCCGTCGCCGCCGTTAACGTCGCAGGAACGAAGCGGTTACGTAGGTGAAGTAACCGGATGTGGTTGTCTTGAATAGGCGTGGTCACCCGGGGTCTCCCGCTTCTCGGCCTGTCTGTTGTTTGGCCTGTTTGACGCAACCGTCGCATTAACCTGGTAACGGTTATGCGCGCGCATCCAAACGTTCTTGCTACAGCGCCGTGTGATGCTCCTCCCTGTCGGACCATTCCAACGGCTCTTTCTCTCTCGATCGCTGTCAACGTGCCATTTCTTTTGTGTGCTTTTTACTGCTGTGGGCACAACGCGTCGGACCAGCAGTTTTATACAGTTCATCTGCTCGTGCATTTTGTGCTACACGACTTAACGTCATTTTGAGTATTCGTGCGATTGCTTCTTAAGTGAATACATGTTACCGGTTTTTTCGATCGAATACGTTTGGTTAGGAACGTGGGATACACAGAAATATTTTTTTTCTCCAAAAAGTATCATTAATTTAAAAATATTGAAAAAAATATTTGGTATCGTTTCTTTTGGACATGAGTTTGATTTGGATTGTTAGTGGCTGTACCTTCAAAGGGGGTTGAAGTAGCATAAAATTATTGTCCCCCGGAGAGGGTATGTAAGTCCATTCACAGTATTTTTCATTGTCCGTGATTTTAATCGAAGTATATATGTATTTTTTAATGCATGGTTAAATTGTGCAAACAACATATGAAGGAATGATGTAAATCCAGCTCGGGTCCATGTAGGTAGCAAAGGTACTTAAGTTCCCAATCGTCCCTAGTTAATGGTGGTCCGATTAATTGAAATAATCGAAGATTGGTCGCAATGACAAAACGACCAAGCAATCGATCATGTTTTCTCATAATCGAACACAAACAATTTTGGACCACTTGTTTGCAATAATAATATTTTTCAAAAAAATGATTTTGTCTCGACATTGCATAAGCACTACAAGCTCGTAGTTTATCTTAACAACTCCAGGAAATGTATGTTCCTAACACACTAGTCATCCTTTAAAGATGTGAAATTTGCAAATGCATTTTGTGCAATTTGCGAAAAAAACACGAGAGAACTGCATGTTTTTTCTTTATTTTTTGTGCATTAACAAACATAACCAGGAAAATTTGATATATGACGCTAAGCAATTATTTTCGATGATTGATCGGTTGTAATGAACCAATCATCAATTATGAGATTAACACCAATTCCCAACACTATCCCTAGTATGGTGATCTACCTTCAGTTGTTGGTGATCTATAGCCCGGTTTTTATATTGTATTGTCCTGTATTGTAATACATGTTTTTATGCTTACATACTAGTTTTTACTTTCTATCTGTGATAGCCTAGTTGTTTTACTGTCCTTTATTGACAAATTTTACAAAATAACTTCTCTTTATTAATACAATATATATTGTTATAGTCACGATGTGGCTGCAATATTGTCAATGTGACTCAAAATCGTAACTCACTCACTCACTATTTGGCTATGTGTGTTTGAATAACTGAACAACTGACAACTACAGCATGCTGCTCTTCAGCATCTGAACATCGTGTGAAAATAGTAAGCACTGTTGCAACTCCAGATACGCTTTTCTAAAGGAATGGAACGCATTTGAATTGCCTGCGTGGAACTCTAACGCAAGAAGTCAACTTCTGGTGTCCGCCAGTAGTGTTCAGCCTGTAAATTACCCAAATCATCAGTGTGAAATTCAATCTTCTCACTTACAATGCATGATACTGGTAATAAACGTGACAAATGGAGGACATGTTGGTTATTGTTTACGTGTTATAATTAAGTAATATAATACAGTGATAGTTAGCAAGTTAGGCATATATTCTAGCCTGCAGTCTGTGAAATATGGAAAAAAACAGTGTGAAAAGGTACACACCATCATTTTAACAGCATACACAATTGACAGAGTTGATTACAGTATGCAACACCATATCGTCTTTAAGCATCTAGCATTAACGGTAGTTCCCCAACTCCTTATAGACAAGTTGTCCAGATTCACGACCATGAATGT